AATCTGCGTATTTTGAATCATTGTATATTTTTCATAAATAAGTTTAGGCTCATTTGATAGCTCTTTGCAAGGGCTATCGAATGGCATTGTCAAAAAAATTCCATATGCTATTTGTAAGGTGCCAGAAGCAAAAAAAAAAAGTGTCCTGAGTAGCCCCGTTTGATGGGGCTACTCGGGACACTTGCAATAAAACTTAATTTTAAAACTTTTACAGCATTCAGAATGTACTCATCCATTACTAACAGTACTCTGAAATCCTCCTCTTTCATTGTAGACGATGTAGAGGTAGAATAAATGACATTTTCTGTGATTTTTACTTGTTTTTATATTATTGATATGATATTACCAAATACATTAATTACCATATCCATGAACATGCCATTGAGCATTTACAATAACCTTGTCCATTGCAAGCTTCATATCAGCAGCCTTATAGCATTTTTTCTGTATCTGTAAGCTTACAGGACAGCTTGTAATTTCACACCATTTTAATTAGGTACATTAAGTGAATTTACTATGAAAAAAAAGATCGTGAAAAACATACCTGAAGCAGAAAGGAATGTTTTAGTGGCAACCATCATATGTTTTGGAGAAATAAATCATAGTTTAGGTCAATTACTTTTCATTCTATGATGACTGGTGCCCAGTTCTATATATGACATTCCATGCACAATTTTGTGATGACCTATGATGCACTAATTTTTCGATAAGTGAAATTTTTTCGCTGAGCGAGGTAAATGTAATAAATATTCGTTGTTTTTAATCAATTTTTTTCTTAACTGGAGCCTTTGCTAACTGAGGTTATACTGTAAATGCGTTTTTGGGGGTGTCCCGAATAGCCCCGGGCAGGGGGGTGTCCTGAGTAGCCCCTCCATGCGGAAATGGCTGCCATTTATTTTATTTTTTAATGAGATAGGACAATTCTGTCAATTACGTTTTCAAGCAGACACATGGGTGCATCTTTTATGTAAGTAAAATTTTTTAATACGGCGAATATTTTTCTTGCTACAGACCTTAGCAGAAGTTACTTTTCAAAATAGTGTTTTTCACCATTTTTTTCAGGAATTTTTCAAAGCTAGTAAATGTAATATTTTTCAACTTCCTTTATACTACATAGATAGGAAAAATGTTGACGTTTACGCCACTATATTTAGTTTTGCAATATTCTAATTAGTTTTGCTACTATAACAGTTTTACGCCATGTCGGAGGACTGTCCCGAGTAGCCCCGGTTGACGGTAATATATAGGAAGATCTATATATTATTTACAAACTATACCAAAATGAAGTAATGGCAGGTGACGCTGTTTATTATATAATAAGATAAATCTATTTTTTATTTTAACTTATATATTTAAATATACATATCCAAACACAAACTCTAATTTTCCTGTCATCTTTGGAAATTTAACCCTTTAGCGGGCAAGCATTGAAATGTCCAGAAATTAAAATTTCAGAAACGATTTCAAGAAAGTAAGAGGTATTATACAATATATTTACATCAATGGATTTTTGCAAATTTCGCCTATTGAAGGTTTAAATCGCACTTGAAGAATTCAATAAATGCGATCAGTGCACAAAATTTTTCTTTATAATTAAAATTCAGTCTATGCAAATGAAAAATCAGAAATATAAAAATTTAATTTAATTAAATTTAATCAAGTTGCCAAAATAAATAAATATATATATTGACACTTCCATCTTTTGAAGAAAATGCAGAAAGAGCATCAATTCCATTGTCCGAGTCAAAACCTTCATTTAAATGCTCATATTTCAATTTGTGGACTTTGCAGCTGGTGATGCTATAGATAGAACGATGGTCAGATAATTAGTGATTGACTGAGGCATTATAAGGATAAATAAAACAAACAGGAAGCCGTGGTGAGGCTTTTTGTGACGCGATTTCAAGTGATCATATATGGTAACTTACCCGTGAAAGGGTTAAGCTTTAGGTTGGATGGATTACATCCTATCTAATAGTTAAGAAAACAAGATATCTGTTGAAAGCGTTTTTTTTTCCAATATTGATTCTCATGTATGTATTTATAATTAGAGTAATACCCAGTGGTGGGCACAGTTCCGCTAATCCGCTAACCGCTAATTAGCGAAGCTAACTTTTTCCTTATCTGATTAGCTGTTCAGCTAACTTTGAAAACCTTTAGCGGACCAATTAGCTTCCGCTAAATTTAGTTCCGCTAACTTTTAAAATCTCTTTTTTAATGCTAAGTATCGTAAGCCGTGTGCCACACCCACACTGACAGCTGACTACGTCATCATATGTTCGTCAGCCAATCACGTCTTGTGTTACTGGCAGTTACACAAGACGTCCTAAACTGCAGTCCTCTGGTGGACGCAATGCTGGCAGGCATCACGAAAAGGTTAGGGCCCATCCTAGAAGACAAGGAGTGCCAGCTGGCAGCGGCCTTCCACCCTAATTTTTGCCTGTTCGGGCTGGAAAAGCATGATCACAGCCATCTTCAGCAGGGTACAGAAGGCCATGGAGACTGCCGTGGAGACAACCCTGAGGGAGAGCGTTGAGGGCAGCAGCACCACCAGCAATGACGAGGATGGGGAAGATGACTTCTTCAGCAGCATTACTCAGCCCATGGAGTGCAGGAGGAGCCACTGGTCACTGAAGTCCAAGGCACAGAATTTGGTGAAGACCAGGCTGGAAAGCAGCTCGAAGGAGCAATTGACTGACGTTGCCTTCTTGGGCGAGCAGGTGTTGATGAACCTTTTCGTTAAGTACAACACAGCCATCCCATCCAGTGCTGCAGCTGAGCGCCTGTTTTCCATAGGCAAGGACACCTTGAGTGCCAAGAGAGCCACCCTGTCAGATGCCAACTTTGAGAGGCTGATGTTCATGAAGGGCAACAATCATCACCTCGAGGAGATGAAGGCGAAGAGCAAGCCAGAGTAAAAGGAGTGTGTAACCCTGGTGTAACCTTAATATTTCTTATTCGTGTAATAAACTGTATGTTTAATGTCAACTACTGCCTAATTTCATTTGTTCATTTAATTATTTATGTTACGTACATTTTGATCATCATCTGATCTTAGCATGCTACATCTTTTTGGAAAGCTCCTTTTCAAGGCTGAAAGTTAAGCTCTCTAGGCCTGTTTTTCAGAGTTCTCCCCCCCCCCAAAAAAATTAAGTGAAATCTAAATTTATATGTTGAAAGTTAGCGGTTAGCGGCAAATTCCGCTACATTTTTTGGTGATTTATCGGTTTAGCGTTGTCGAAGCTAACTTTTCAGTTAGCGGATTAGAGGTTATCGAAGCTAACTTTTAGGTTAGCTGTGCCCACCACTGGTAATATGTACCTATTTACCTATACAGCAATCCCTTGATTAGCACGGTTTTGAATACCGCGGTTTTGATTAACGCGGAAAAAAAATTTGCGACCTACCCTTGATCTACGCAGTGCCAGTTTTGATTAGCGCGACTTTTTTTTCACAATGCATCATTTTCCCGCCTCTAGCCAGAGGTGTTACGTTAGTGCTTATTAGATCTTATGTTGTGCTTCTGTTACGACTTTTGGAAAAATTCGCCAAATGTTGTTACTTTATGAATTTCAGCCAATAATTCTTTAAATAAGGTTCCGTTCAGTAGGCACTCATGCTGACTACAGAGTCGGTTTAACCGCGCCTTGTCTCGTTCATAACTCGAATGATCAAGTTCGGCAACGTTCGCCGGTAAGTGCGCCATGCCGGTGCTCTAGCCCTTTAAGCCCTGGTGTGACGAATTCGTCACACAGAAAATAAAAGCTTCTACCGAGAGTAATTACATGTTTGGAGTCTAGCCGCGAGTGTGACGGTAGCGTCACATGTTGTGAACTCGTTCGAACGACGTTCGATGGAGTAGGTGTGCCGCTACTGCCAGTACATACAACACAAAGACTGCGCATGATCTGAAAAGTAATTCAGATTGTTTTTTCGCTTTCAAAACATAATTCAGTGCGTAAAGGGCTAGTTACTCGTTAGCCTTCAACTGGTCAAGATCGCTGCCATATCTACTGCTCACTTTTATCGAACTACATAATTTTCCTTTCCTTTGATATTTTTGAGGATTCATTATAATTATTCCCATATATTTTTAAGTTTGATTAGCGCGGTTTTGCTTAACACGGTAAAACTCGGGGATTTATTAACCGCGTTAATCAAGGGATTGCTGTATATCTATTAAGTAGTGCCTATTATGTATTTATTACTGTCAGGTCAAGTTATTTTGGTATCTAGGCTTAATCCTTGACAACGTTTCTTCGAAAAAATTCATTACCTGCGTTTGTCAGGGGCTCAGTAAAGCCCACGAGGTGCTACATGCTCTATCCAGCGTCTCCTCACTGAAAATACTTTTTCTTTCATTATATTTTTATCTAAACTTTTAAACACATTAGTAACATGGGGTGGTGTATCTCTTAATACTAAGAAATCAGTTACCATGTTAATTAATGCCGTCAACCGGGGCTACTCGGGACAAGCGGGGCTACCGGTACTCGGGACAGGCCTCCGACACGGCGTAAAACTGTTGTAGTGGCAGAACTAATTGGAATATTGCAAAACTAAAAATAGTGGCGTAAACGTCAACATTTTTCCTATCTATGTAGTATAAAGGAAGTCAAAAAATACTACATTTACTTGCTCTGAAAAATTCCTGAAAAAAATGGTGAAAAACTATATTTTGTAAAATTACAACTGCTAAGGTATGTAGCAAAAAAAATATTTGCCGTATTAAAAAATTTTACTTACGTAAAAGTTTTACCCAGGTGTCGGCTTGAAAACGTAATTGACAGAATTTGCCTCATTCCAAAAAGAAATGGCTGCCATTTCCGCACGGCGGGGCTACATGGGACACCCCCCGGGACTATCTAGGACACCCCCAAAAACGTATTTATGGTAGAACCTCAGTTAGCAAAGGCTCCAATTACAAAAAAAATTGATTAAAACCAAAAATACCAACCAAAAATCTATAAGACCAGCATTTTCCAGTTCTTATATACTAACTAGTGCTGGCGGTGCTAAATTTACTGGTGCTGCTTTGCCTTTAAGTAATTCTACTTCTGAAATATCAGCTGCAACTCCTTCTGAAACTCATCCTGTACCTACCCCCCAGTTATCTATGTCTCAAATGCCTGAGTTTCCTAATGCTGGTAACACAAATAACCAAGTCTCCTCACCAACTCACATCACATCAAGCGGCAGAACCTGCTCCTGGATACCCCAGACGGTTCACACAATTTGTTTTGACACATTCAACTTCCATCGTGTCATGGACGCTGATACTGCAAATCGTGTTCTGAATGGAGAGCCAACAGTGGTTCGGAACATTGACATGCAGCCGACCAATGGCATGGCAGGATCCAGTAACAACACCATCATCCGTTCTGATCCCGGATTGCCAAGATGCAATCCTCATGATGGATACCCAAACTCTGGTGGCAATCCTCATGATGGATACCCTGACTCTGGTGGCTCCACTGGGCAATCTGGAGATAGATTGTCTTCTGCCTCATCACTTCCTACTGCTAATTTAAATGCAATGAGTAAGCAAAGCATTTAATGTACTTTTCAAACCCTGCATTGGGCTAATTTTTAATTATTATTTTATTACTATTCATTGAATTTTATGACTTGGATTGCAGTTATACAGAATTTATGGTGTGATATTTGGCAGGGGAGTTAAGGCTTATGAAAATTCTGATTAAATTCAAACCAATGAACTGAAATTATTCATGTGTACATGAGAGTTCACAATTTGTATGTTGTTCATATCTTCACTATGTTGTCTCTTTAATTAACCCTTTTGTAACTGAAAGGATTTCTTAGTCCCAAACCAGTAGGTACAAATAGCATTGATGATAGTAAATGTATCCAATAGAAACAGGTTAAGAATTGTGTGTGCACAAGATGGTCTTTAATTTAACTTTAATTTATAAGGTGCATAAGAGGGTCTTTAATTTAATTTTAATTTATAAGGTGCATAAGATGGTCTTTAATTTAACTTTAATTTATAAGGTGCATAAGATGGTCTTTAATTTAATTTTAATTTATAAGGTGCATAAGATGGTCTTTAATTTAATTTTAATTTATAAGGTGCATAAGAGGGTCTTTAATTTAACTTTAATTTATAAGGTGCATAAGAGGGTCTTTAATTGAATTTTTCTAATTGTGTTACAGGGTCTTTACTTTAATGTCAGCTCAACTGTGCTCATAGATGCTAAAAGAAGCATGTTCATGAATATTTTGCACTTGAAGCTTAACAGCCTAGAATTTCAATTAAGAATACGTAGTGATTATGAGTTTTGTTACAATCTTGAAATAATGGTCAATTTAGTAATGTCATTGTCACCAAACAAGTGTGAATAATAATGATCAAGTTAGTCACGTCTTTCTCATAAACGGTTGTAAATAATTTTCATGTTGAGATTTCTTGTAATAGATATAAATCCCTCAGGAATCCATGACGGCAGCAGAAAATTATCAGGAAATTAATGGTATTATTTATCTTCAGGTGGATCAACACTGTCCAGTGATGGATCTGATAGCCATGTTGCCAGCACAACAAAGCCATTGCATCAGCCATCTCTCCAGCCACCTGATAAGCCATCTCTCCAGCCACCTGATAAGCCATCTCTCCAGCCACCTGATAAGCCATCTCTCCAGCCACCTGATAAGCCATCTCTCCAGCCACCTGTTAAGCCATCTCTCCAGCCACCTGTTAAGCCATCTCTCCAGCCACCTGTTAAGCCATCTCTCCAGCCACCTGTTAAGCCATCTCTCCAACCACCTGTTAAGCCATCTGTTCTAACAGCCAAGTCCAAGTCCCCAAATGTCCCCAAGAAGACTGCAGAACAGAACAAGTCCACTAAAGGTGAATCTTTCTCTTGAAGTGGTAATACAATTTAAATATGCCATTTCCCCTCTATAATTTTATTTTTGAGTTACATTTTTATTCTAACAGGATGATTGATCATCATAAGTCAGCTGATGATTTAGGCATTGCAATACCCTGTCTTGCAGTGTGTTACTGGTGACACTTGAAATAATGCTTAATATATCTCTACATAAAACATTAGATTCTTGTCAAAATTTTCAAATAAATTCAATAAATCAAACAATATTTTTTTGTTTGCACAGGTAAATAAAAAAAATCAAGGTACCAATAGACATTTTTCATTTCATTAATGACGTATGAATATAACAATGTCATGCCTAAGAGACAAATTCTGCCAACTTATACTTAATCCAATTTAATTATCATATTATTCATATTTAATTATAATATAATTCTAATTTAGTTATAGTATAATTTTAATTAAGTTATATCATATAATTTAGCTCTTCTTCCTCTAGCATCCATCTTGCCCACCAGCTTACTAAGTGCTTATTTACAGCTCTTATTTCACTTCAATAACTCACTAGATATCTCATGCTAAAATAACATAAAATAAATGTTATATCAAGAGCATCGATGTGGTTTTAAGCCATTAATGCCAAAATGTATTTTCTGAATTTTTTCTGATATCCTATGAGAATATTATCACTTGTGACGGTAATAAATGAAAAATATGTTCAAATGTTTATTTTTTGTTGTATGTGAAAAATTATATCTTTGTCCCATTTGGAACCGAACTAAATATTTCATGATCTAATAACTTAAGAAACATTGTATCACATAATACCACCCGCAGCACCCACAACACCCGCAACAGCTGCAGCACCCGCAACAGCTGCAGAATCCCCCGCAAAGACCACACGGGGGGCATCCCCCAGTAAAGCAGATGTACAAGACTACATAAGGAAGAAGAGGCAGCAGCACAAGCAGCAGCTACAACAACAGCAACAGCAACAACTGCTGCAGAAACAGCAGATTCAAACTAGGCTTAAAAGCCTGCAGACTGAGGTAGAGACTTGACTCTGTCCCTGCAGACTGAGGTAGAGACTTGACTCTGTCCCTGCAGACTGAGGTAGAGACTTGACTCTGTCCCTGCAGACTGAGGTTATAATGTTGAGTCTTACTTATAATGTCAAGTGTTACTTATAATGTTGAGTCTTACTTATAATGTCAAGTGTTACTTATAATGTCAAGTGTTACTTATAATGTTGAGTCTTACTTATAATGTCAAGTGTTACTTATAATGTCAAGTGTTACTTATAATGTCAAGTGTTTCATAAATGTTATTGATTGCTGCGCGTATTTCATTAATATCATTGCTTGTCTAGCAAAATAATGATACGTTTGTTAAGAAAGTGTTCTATTGTTATCATTGTATTATTGTTATGTTTATATATTATTATTATTATACGTGTTTACTTTATTAAAAGAAAGAATCAATTAGCACTATTGTCTGCAGACGGGGCACGCATGTCGCCTGATCACCCCCACCACTGCTGGGGCTATCCTCCTCAACAAGGTTAGTCCTCCCTCCCCACCCACTCATCCCTTCTCCCCACCCCACTCATCCCCTCTCCCCACCCCACTCATCCCCTCCCCACCCACTCATTCCCCCTCCCCCAACTCTAAGGCCCACCACACTCATGTCGCACGCATACAATATGCACTCTCATACTGATCATAAAACATTTGATTGTTTTGTGGTGATTTAAAACAATTGAACGCTGCTGTAATGTTAACATCTTGCAACGCTTTTTTGGGACCAAATTTTATGCTTTAGAGAGTGATAACTCCTTAGTCGTTGACAGTAGACAGTAACTGCTGTTCTGTCTTTCAGACGGCGTCTAGAGACACACAGACGGAAGCTGACGGAGGGAATGGAGCCAGCCTTCCGTCAGCGGTCGTCATAGCAACGGCGGATGTAAACAAACCAGGTGAGGCGCGTGCGGTCGTCATAGCAACGGCGGATGTAAACAAACCAGGTGGTTGCTGATGTGCCAAATGCACGACGTTTTGCAGGTGATTTGCTTCACTGTCTGGGAGGCTTTTTGTTCTCTTATTCCTCTCATCATGACAGCGATCATTGATGGCAGATAAAACAATGGTTTTATTGCGGATTACGATCTTATAACTTTATGATGTGTTTGGGACTTCCTAGGCCCTGGTCACGCTGATGCACCGCTTTTGTTGTCCTCAGTGTTTGAGTCGTCGCTAAGTGGGTCGCTCCCAGATGCAGAAGATGATAAAATGATAATTTTTTCTAAGCTGCTCTTTTCATCACAAAGTTTGCAAATTGATGTCACTTGTTTGCTTAAAGCGCAAATTAACTAAAAATTTAAAAGCAAAGAATAGTCTCAAAAATTTTTATCTTTATAGAAAACGTTTTGGAGACCAGCTCCATCGTCAGTTCGTAGAATCTAGAATCACAAATTAGAATTAGAAATGCCTTATAAAACAACGGTTTTGATGTGTTCTTTGTTTAAATTGCATTGCCGTATTATCCCCAAATAAAATTATAGCAAGGGATAACATTATTATATTATATTATATTATATTATATTATATACATTAGTATATTATTTTATTATAACCCCGAATATCATTATAGCAGGGGATATGATAGTCATGATGTCATGTGAAGCCCTTCTACAACAATATGTCCTTCAGCTGTGGCTTGCTTGAGTTCATCGAGTTGTTATGTATTGTATTATTATGTTAAGTTATTGATTTGTGTTGAGTTATTATGTATTATGTCCTATTAAGTTATTGCTTTGTGGCAGATGCTGAGGTAGCAAGACAGTTAGAAACACCACTTCTACAAGAACAGTTAGAACTTCTACCTCAAGAACAATATAAACAGCAAATGTCGTACGTTGCTCCTGTTAACCAAGATACTCTGTGTCGTCGCAGCACGCAAAGTTCAGCCAATACTGCAGGGAGCTCTACTAATATTCCGCTTGTTGCCGCCAATCCCCTTCACTATGGACCTGCTACCAGCCAATATGGAGCCAATCCCACCTCCAATACTAGCACCGTGGGCCCCCATGGGCCCTATTTAGATCCCTGGGTTGGCCCCACCACTCATGACCCGCCCCACCCTTCTGGCCCTGACACCCATGGCTCACTTCACTCTGTTGACCCACTTCACTCTGTCGACCCAGTTTCTGACGCATATGAGAGATTATCAACAAAGGAGCTTATCCAGAGGATAAAAGCTTCACTCCCCCCACCCACTGACTCTGTCGACCAACTGTCGGCCGCTTATGAGAGACTATCAGCAGAGGAGCTTCTCCAGAGGACAAAAGCATGCCTCCTCCCTCACAGTGGGGAAGAACGTGCTCCCCACCAAGCCCTGCCATCCCCTTATCCTTATGCTAGAGAGGGCTATAAACCCCAGGGGCGAAATGAACTCTATGTAGTGAACCCAAGCTTTTATCAGGGCGAGTCTCTAAACGTGATGAATCGTCCATTGAATGTCACAGATTCCAGAGGAAAAGATCCAAGAATTGCCTGGGAAGAAGTAAGGAGGGAAAGGATCTACAACAACCGCACTCATATCACTAGTTATGATGGCAATAATAACCGTTTTGGTATCGAACAGGACGAGTCCAACGTCAATACGTCAAGAAGAAGAGGTCGGATATATACGTCAATACGTCAATATACGTCAATACGTCAAGAAGAAGAGGTCGACTCAACGGGTGGACATATTTCCCGCTCATCCCATCATCCCGTGCCTAATACATCCCAGCAAAATAGATCTAGTAATGATAATAATGATAATATAGCCCGCAATCCGCGTTACATAAACTGCTTCCAGCCGCTGCCCCCAGGAGCGCTGGCTCTAGCCCACAGGAGCGCTGTGATGATCCAGAAGCTCTACCGCGGACACAGAGTGCGTAAAGTCACCAAGCATGTCTTGAAGAGAAATGTTTACCCTTTAAGGCAGCTCAGCCAGAACCTCAAACTTCGTAAGGCACTAAGTCCTGCAAGAGAAAACTCGAGGTCTCCTCCTCACCAATCTTCCGGACGAACCAGTGACGCTAGAATTTATAAACAAGGATCTGCGTCGCTAGTAAGTACGTCACAAAGATCAGCGTACAAGTCTACTGACGTTGGTGGTAGTACAGAGGATGGGAGAAGTGCTATTAAAATGAAGGAGAACATTGACCGTTCCAAGCTTACCAAAGAGTTCATGAATATGGGTAAATTTGAACATTTTACCATGAGTAACTACCAGGTCACTAATCCTGATGTGCCTGAGAGGGTGAAGTCTTTTGTGCAGCTCGTAACTACGGGAGATCTTGACGAGTTTGTGGAGGCTACGGGAAAACTTGCTATGAAGTCCAGTCGAAAAGCAGGCCATTCTCATACCTTGCACACCATTCCTCGGACTGGTGCAAGGAGCGATCATACCTCACACATCATTCCTCAGACTGGTGCAAGTAACGACCATACCTCACACACCATTCCTCTGCAAGGCACATCTAAAGACAATTCCTCCCCCATTCCTGTTGACAAATCTGTGCAGACAAGTGCACGCTTGGGCAAACCTCTGTCACTTACAAACGCAGATCTTGACCGTACAAATAACTCCTATTATCCTTCACAATTTCTTGCAGGACCAGCTGACTTGAACCTCAGGACTTCAGGCCTTAGTGGGAGCAACACACCAGACCCCATACCATCACACCCCATCAACCCAAGAAACCACAGCAACCCTAACAACCCCAGCAACTCAACCAAGCCCAACAACCCCATCAACTACATCAACCCTAACAACCCCAGCAAGCCCAACAACCCAAGCAACCCCATCAACTACATCAACCCCAACAACGGTGCAGCCGACGACTTCGTGCTCCTGAAACCAAAACTCAAGACCGGCCCCGTGGCGCGGTCTACTGAACCCTCGGCCGCGCGTCATCCAAAGCCCCCCGCGCACGCGTCCAATACGAGCAGCTTCTTCGGCAGTCTTGGCAGAGCTTCTTTGGATGATGTGAGGGCAGCCGTGGATATGCCATCCGCTGCCAGGGATGACATTCATGGGATGGCGTCAGTCGGCAGGGCTGACATACCTAGGATGGCGTCAGTCGGCAGGGGTGACATACATGGGATGACGTCAGCCGGCAGGAATGACGCCTCTGGTATGACGTCAGTTGGCAGGAATAACGCCTCTGGCATGACGTCTGTCGGCCGGAAAAATGTGCCTGGTATGACGTCAGCTGGCAGGAATGACGCCTCAAGTATGACATCAGCAGGAAGGAATGACATCCCTACATTGGAGGGACGACAGCATCATTCCTCTACTGGGAAATCAACTGAGGACGTTAATTTTAAGATCAGGATCGACCCGGTGACCGGCGTCGGACTTTCCCCCGCTGAACTGCGCCAGCGCTTCGATGCAGAACTGATGCATCAGGACGCCATTGCCGATGCCCTCAACCACCTGCATCAGCTGGAGCATCTTCGTGATGCCGAGAAAGCCACAGCCGATGCCGAAAAGGCTAGGCAGGCTGCCGAACAGGCCAAAGTAGATGCTATGCTGCGTTTAAACCATCAACAACATCTGCGAACCGCTGAGAAGAACCGCCTGCAAAATCTGCGAACCGCTGAGAAGATGAAACGTGAAGCTGAAAAAGCTAACCATGAAGCACACAGGATTGAGTTGGAGCGAGATAGGCTAAAAGCTGAGCTGAAACTTCGTACGGAAATTGAACAACTCAAACTTCGTGACGCCAGAAGAGAACTTGGAGCTCACAAACCCAGAAGTGACCAGCGTATCGAGGACCCGAGTCCTGGTGTTCCTACGGCGGCCAGGGGCGCGGCTGGCATTGACATCATGGAAGAACGTCGCAAGATTTCTGAGCTGCGCGACCAGATCTCCCATCAGGAGAGAGTCCGGCGTGAGATAGAGAGAGAGGAGCTCAGGAGGAGGATTGGGGGCGCTGATGAAGGGTCGGTAGAGCTCAGGAGGAGGGTTGGTGGCGGTGAAGCTCCACCCTGTGACCAAAAATCCACCAAGAACCACACTTCCTTCTCCATTAATGACACACATTCCTCTGCAGCCATCGGCAACTGTTACCCCACGGATGACCTACTCCTGAGGCATCAAGCAACCACCACCGCGTCCAGCTCCTTGCCCTCGGAAGCTCCGCCGTCTCGTGTCAGGACGCCCTCACTGGACGAGCTCTCATCAAAGCTTGATCTCACTTTAGAGCGCATGAACAAGGAGATGCATGAGATAGCTGACGTCATTTTCCGCAATCCTGCCCCTCCTTCAGCAGTGAACTTAGACCTGTACGACAAGGCAAGGTCAGCTGTACCACAAGGCGTGCATGGTACGACGAGGACGCTAGTTTCAAGCGACCCTTCGCAGCTCACGAGTACAGCACAAAGAGTGGAAGACATCATGTCTTCTTTGCCGTCCCGGGCCTCTGGTTCTGAGGTGCGGGGCCAGAACCCTAGCACACTTCTGAGGTATGACAGTTACGTCCCTAGTATCATCCCTGACAGAACTGGCATCAACAGCGTATATGACCTCATAATCCCATCTGCATCCCTCGTAACCTCAACCTCAGGTCTGGTACAACCATCCCTGCCTTCCAGTTCTGGTGTAAATAAACTTATGGTTGGTTCAACCCTGCCTGGGGTGTCTTCCATCAACCCTGTTCCCTCAACCCGTTCCCAACCTCCGTTTGTACCCAGGGACCAAATCAACACCAAGCAAACTACCGCCAGCTTACCAACACCAGGTCTTGTTCCGAGATCAGTGGTAGCCACTGAGTTACCTAATGATAAATCAGCGGCCAAGTCAGCGGCCACCAGACAGAGTCGTCCTCTTGACTGTAATGTTAATAAATCAAGACGTAAGAGGCAAGAAAGTAACGATGCATATTACAGCGAAACTTTTGAAAGTGTGTCAAGTGAAAGGAACTCGGGACGTGACGGTAGAAGTGCGGGAAGTAGATCAGCTTCTGCCAGTGCAAGTGGACCGAATTCTGCTAGTGGAAGTGGAGGAACAAGTGTTGCTTCAGGAAGTGCAAGTCCAAGACTGGCTGCCAGTGGAAGTGGATCGAATTCTACCAGTGGAAGTGGACCGACCGCTGCCAGTGGAAGTGGACCGACGCCTGCTAGTGGAAGTGGAAGAACAAGTGTTGCTTCAGGAAGTGCAAGTCCAAGACTGGCTCCCAGTGAAAGTGTGGCGGCCTCCAGCAGTTCTGGCGGAGGAACCTCTTCTCAAAATAAAGGCGGTTCTTCGAGCGGCACAAGCCGACAGTCCCAGCGATCTGAGGCATCTTCTATTCCTGACTCTGTGTCCAACAAATCCTCTACAATCCTTACTTCAGAAGCTAACGACAGGTCTAAGGAATCAGCTTCTGTTGGATCTGTTTTGGAAAATATTGAGGATGCGCCTGAGTCCCGAGAATCTGGCTCTGAAATAGCCACTTTGACTTCAGGCCCATTTGAAGATCAGAATTCGGCTCTTGAAGAACCTTCTTTGAGCCAAGTCCCCACTCTGGGCAAGGGCAAAGTCCCCACTCTGGGCAAGGGCAAAGTCCCCACTCTGGGCAAGGGTCAAGTCCCCACTCTGGGCAAGGGCGAAGTCCCCACTGTGGTTCAGAAGCAAGTCCCCACTCTGGGCCATGGCCCACGCATCGGTCAAGTCCTAGTATCGAACACACCCCCAAATTTCGACCATGTCAACCTGGCCTCAAAACCTGGAGATTCATCGAGCGTCTCGCAGGCGCTCAAGAACCTGCTGCAGAACGCCCCCATATCTGAAGAATGCAAGGCTTATTTGTACAAGAACCATAGCACCAGCACTCAGGTTCTACCAGGCACCAGCACCCTAGACCTACCAGGCTACGAGCTACCTCACTCTACCTACCTACCTACTGCTGGTGGTTTGGCTACTGCTACCAGCCCTCGGCCATCTTCTGCTGTGAGTTTATTATTAGTAATCTACCTTATAAATCTACCCTAGTACCAGCATTATTATTATCATTATTATTATTATTAATAATCTACCTTATAAATCTACCGTCTTGCCAGCATTATTATTAGTCTAATAATCTACCATCTAAATCTACCGTCTAGCGAGCATTATTATTAGTCTAATAATCTACCATCTAAATCTACCGTCTAGCGAGCATTATTATTAATCTCATAATCTACCATCTAAATCTACCGTCTTGCCAGCATTATTATTAATCTCATAATCTACCATCTAAATCTACCGTCTTGCCAGCATTATTAATCTAATAATCTACCATTAATCTCTAATGATCTACCGTCTACATCAGGCTAATTAAGTTCATTAATAGTGAACGCGATTATTTAAGACCAGACAATATATTTTGTTCAATAAACAATTAACATTAAAACGAAAAAATGTAGAAATGGTTCACTGGAGAAAAGTTTTCTGTAATTTAGATTTTACTTTTTCTTTTATTGTTCAGAACGGCAGGGTGGCCGACATATTAACGTTAAATATGTATGCCCGACTGAAGCTATGTTGCGTGTTCGAAACCCCAACGAGCTGCAATACTCCTGTGGTGTCTCGCTGACACGCTGTCATGACGTCAGCTGTTGCTGCTGACAGGCTGTCATTACGTCAGCTGTTGCTGCTGACAGCTGTCATGACGTCAGCTGTTGCTGCTGACAGGCTGTCATTACGTCAGCTGTTGCTGCTGACAGGCTGTCATTATGTCAGCTGTTGCTGCTGACAGCTGTCATTACGTCAGCTGTTGCTGCTGACAAGCTGTCATGACGTCAGCTGTTGCTGCTGACAAGCTGTCATTACGTCAGCTGTTGCTGCTGACTAGCTGTCATGACGTCAGCTGTTGCTGCTGACAAGCTGTCATTATGTCAGCTGTTGCTGCTGACAAGCTGTCATGACGTCAGCTGTTGCTGCTGACAAGCTGTCATGACGTCAGCTGTTGCTGCTGACACGCTGTCATGACGTCAGCTGTTGCTGCTGACAAGCTGTCATTACGTCAGCTGTTGCTGCTG